AAAGAGGGTTTTGTTTTCTGGAAATATTTCAATTGATCATTAGTTTGTAGTTTCTTTCAATTCTTGCATGCATTGATTAATTTTTTAGTAACAATGACAACTCTATCAGGCATCCAGTAATTTAATTGTGTGTGTGTGTATGCGTGTGGTTGGGCGTGTGGGTATATATTAGTGTCAAGATCATATTTAGGACCAGAGTCTTGGAAAGCAGAAGACATCTTGACTTATGGTCCAGATAAGGAAGAGTTTAATCCACAAGGGACAACTTCAGTATTACTATAAGCTGATTATTAAACTCTCTCTGCATGTGAATTTTAAATCGCTAAATATCTGGGAAATGTCAACTCACTCTTCCCACTGAGAGATCTTAGCAATTGTAATTTATGAGCCATACCCTTCATTATTGCTTCCATTATACACAAGTCTTAATTTAAAGGCCATTCCATTTTCCATGGCATGTTCACGACATTTTGTAAGAGCTCGCCTACCACGCAGAGATGGTTAGACGATATTCTGCACTGGAATTTGGATGCTCAGGAACACCAGTCCTGTTCACTCGCTCAAGTCCTAGTTGGGTGGGGCTGAATTTAAGCTCCAGAGTAATTGTTACAGGAAATAAAAGCACACAGACAACAAGCCTAAAGCCATGGGTACCACCAAAATATATATACACCACAGTGGTTTTAAATGAAGCAGCAGCAGTTTCTGACATGCAGGCACAGCCACCCAACCCATGTCAGACCACAGTCATGCTGTTCCATCCCATGGCTTCAGAAAGGTTGCCAACAACTGCTGTAGGCAACCTGCTCCAAAGCAGAGTAAGAGAAGCAGGAGGCCCTGTAGCAGGGAGAGTATTTACGTTTTTGGTATTAGTCCATTTCCCACCAATTAGTATACTTGAGTTGCAAGTGTCACAATGGTGGAGTTAGAATGCTGCATTGCAATACAATACTTTATTTCTCATAATGTAATAGTAGTAATATCTTTCAATTTTCTTATTTATTCTTTTATGACACTTGAGCAGGAAGGTTGCAGCAGAGACGGGGGGGGGGGG